GGAGGAGGAGGCGGGAGAGGGACAGGGAGGGGAGAGAGAAGAAGAAGCGAGAGGGCGGTTTAGGGGGTAGGGAGGGAAGGAGAGAGATGACGTTTCGCGCTCCTCTCAACCAAGACAAAAAAAATAAAAAAAAAAGTGAAGAGTAAACCTCCAACCCTCCTCCCCCTCCCCCCTCCTTGACTACCCCCACCCCCCAATCCACCCAACCCCCAGAGCTCTCGCAAGAATGAAAAAAACAAGAAGCACAAACAACGCGGAGATCGTGCCATGACCGGGCCCGCAGCGACAAGAGCCAGCGAAGGCATGGAGGAGGAGTGAAGGGCGGGCAGGACATCGGCCTCGATCGCGGGTCATGACAGCCGAGGGCCCTTCCCAAGCCACGCTCGCTACGTGCTCCCTGCTGCGCTCGCTTCCCTGCTACTCGCTCCTTGTTACTCGTCCCCTGCATTACTCGTCCCCTATTAACTCGCCTCCTGTGTATACTCGCTTCCCTGTTACTCGCTCCCTGTTTACTCGCTCCCTGTACTCGCTCGCCGGTACTCGCTCCCTTGTTACATCGCTGCCCTGCTCACTCGCTCCCTATTACTCGCTCCTGTGCTTACTCGTCCCTGTTTACTCCGCTCCCTCTTACTCGCTCCCTGTTACTCGCTCCCGTATACAGTCGCTCCCTGTTACATCGCTCGCCTAGTTACTCGCTTTCGCCTGTTACTCGCTCCGTTACTCGCCGCCTGTTACTCGCTCCTTGGTTTTAAAACCTCGCTCCCTGCTACTCCCTTCCCCTGAACTTACGCAAGCAAGCGGAGGAGAGGCAAATGGAGTCAGAGTACAAGTAAGTTCCTAGACATGGATCTCAAAGCGCCGGGGGCAGGAGAGGGGGGAGGAGAGAAGGTTGAACGGGAGAGGACTGAAAGGAGGAGAAGGACTGATGGTTAGATAAAGATGGATGATCGGGGGACAAAAGGAAGGAAGGCAATTGGAGAAGGTAAGGTGAAGGAGAGAAGAAGAGACAGATAGAAGAAGTACAACAAAGAAGAGAAAACTACACAACTCGAGTCACATAATTCACGGGAAAATAAGAAGAAAAGAACAGATAAAAAATAAACAACAAAAGAAAATATCTCGAAGAGATAAGAACGCAAAGACATCGGCCAAAGTATCGTCCGGGCCCGTGGAATGAAATGCCAGGACCAAAGAATCATTTGGAGACACATCGCGTTTTTAGCAGTCGCAGAGGACGTGGAGGAAGATTGCCAGTCCGCGGAATAACTCACAAAGAACGCACGGAGATCGCCCTTGACACGCACGACGCAG